TTAAAAAAATTTCGCTAATTGAATGGACTGATTAAATTCTCTTGCCTTGAAAAAAAAACGATAAGCTCCCAATCTTTTTGCGAGCCAAGAATTGGAACTTTTAACTAAGTAAGGCGGATGCAAAAGTTATAATGGTTCTGATTTAAACATTGTTTAATTTTTCATAACTAAAAACCAAAAATTGCAAACAACCATGTTCTCAAGAGAGGCAGGAAAGAAGATTATTAGAACCCTTAAGTCCAGACAGCTGGTGCAAAAAAAGCTAGGCAACACAGCAAAAAGCTTTAGGACAGACTTGAAGAACTAACTACCCGAAACAATGACAGACGTTTAGCGTGGGAAAATCAATCCGTTGATTACAACAGTCAGATAATCAATAAGATCATGTTGAGAGAACTAAGTGTAAATCTTCATACCCAAATTGCATCTGGTCAAACATGTTCCATAATCTCATTTGCATCTATCCATACAATCATAAATATCCATCTGGTCTATAACTATCATTATTAGTGTAACACAGACAAATAAAATATCATGATCCCACGCAAAAAATCTATGATTCCACGCAAAAAATTTTGCGCTGCATACAGTGCTCAGAAAGACGAGTTGATCGGTGAAAGTATTTGATTTGCTAGCAAGCTACCCGCCGCTAGAGGTAGTTTCGTTGGAATACTAGGCAAATTTGTAGCGGCCTGTTTAATTAGTAGAGCAAAGGGGGTTTTAAAACGCAATGTCTGTTGCGACTGAGAGATTAGATACAACGGCTTGAGGTTTCGACTTTGTTTTTTGACCAAAGTGGTTGAACCAAATGTCATGGTGCGACCACAAATCCCTAGTCGCGCAGGGCGCTTTGTCGAACTGAGTCGAAACTTAAAGTCGAACTGGGTTGATACATATTTAACCTTGGTCGAAACGGTCGAGCTGAAACTTGCGTTGTCGAACTTGGTCGAAATATTCATGGCACAGAACTTGGTCGAAACATAAAAGATTTTGGTTGCGCCGGTCGAAACATAAAGTTAAAACCTCTGACAGGGATTTCCAAGTGTATAGGATTTGAACTTAGAAAGTTAATGAATTGATCATTTTAGCATCAAATTTGTACGCTTGGTAAATTAAGACTACAGGATTGTACAAATCTACCTTTGCTCTTGTTGTTCAATCTTTCCTGAAAAAAAAAACAATTGATTTTGTTCGAGTTGTTCGTGTTTTTGGGCTGTGATTGTCGCATTTAAATTTGGGTAAAATTCTTCAGAACTTATTTCCAAAGCTACCTTTTCAAAAACGTTTTTATTCTAATCACTTATGTGATATCATTCAAAAAGAAAAATTAAACTTTTAACAAGATACATAGCTGTAATTATGTTAAAAAACATTCGTTGTTTGAGCATTGAATTACAGTTAATTTTATACGTGCTCTCTTTGATAAAAAGTCGAGTAATTTTTGAAGACAAAGTTTAAATACAGTATCTGAGAGACTATCATACAGATTCAACTTACAACACACTTTTAACACCAAGAATGAGTCGCAACGAACAGACGAAAGCCGAGTACGGACAGCAGGACACGAGGAGCGAAGCTGACACGACGGCGTCTAAATCGGGCGAGGATTACTCGGAGTCACTTCGGAAATGTTCCAATTGCGGGAAGAAGGAAACCACAATACATTGTGTGATCACGGGTCAACTCGTCTGTAGGTAAGTTTGTGTAGTCGCGTTTTTATTGATATGTAAGTCAGTAAAATTTGCAGCGGCCATTATTTGGAAGTTAAATTGTAAGATTTTTAAGCTGCTTATCACATTACAGCCATCCCAGTAAATTATAGCCCCCCAGATTTGACGAAAATCAGTGTAGTGGGCAGGCGCGGATCTAGGAATTTCTCGAGGGGGAGCGACTTTTTCAAAAAAATCGAAAGTTTTGTCGAACTTTTTTAGGTCGATCAAATTGATTTTCTGAGCTCTCCCAAATCCTCATAAAGACTTTATTTTGACCAAATTCTCTGCGCCGCAGTCAAATTTTTAACAAATAGGCCAAAAAAGGCGGTTTTAGGCACTTTTTGGAAAGTTTTGGCCAAAAAAAAAACTGTTTTTTTTTTGCTGAGCGCGCTCTACCCGCAAATGTAGTATATATTATTGGCGCCAAAGGAGTCTTCATAAAATTTTCAGTCAGACAAAATGGATACCTCATAATAGTACAAAGGGGGACCTTTTGGGTCGGCAGGGGGTCGAATCCTTGAGGAGAGGCGTTCGCCTACCCCCCCCCCCCCTAAAAACGCTACTGGTGGCGGGGCTACAGCTTTTGGTTAGGTTGAAGTAATATTGACTTTAATAGATGCGAGCCAAATTTTAATTGAAACGATTTAAAGGCTTCACGTTCATTTTATCTATAAATCATCAAGCATCTATTCCAGTAATTGAAAATTGGTCAAGTTTAGTAAGATCAATGTTAAGATTGAAACTGTTGGAACTTTGAGTGTCCGGTAATTTTATCAACTCGAAACGGAACTAAAACTTTGCTCACATACAGGTAGGGATTTATGATTTTATGAAACCGGAGGGGAGCATACGTTTTTTGGACCGAAAAGATTTTTTTTATGGTCCTGTTTTTAGTCGTCTTGCAAAAATACCCATAGAAAGATTTTTCGTTTCCTGGTTGATAATTGTTTGTTGCAAAGAAGTACGGATTGAATTAATTAGATGGGAACATGTCCATACCAAGCTTAGGTACGTTGGTGGCGAACTGAATTTCATAGATGTTTTGTTGTCCCTAGAACTCATAATTTCTGCATCGATTTCCCCGGATTTCAAAAATGGTTTCAGTCAAAACTGGAATCGAAAGAATTGGTTGAACGCACAGATTAAATGGGTTGTTGATTTTTGCCCGGATTGAGGTATTCGACTTATGTTTCGAGAGACTCGACCAAAAATGGCAATATTTTGACCGACTCGATTAAAAATGGCCATGTTTCAGCCGACTGGACCCAAATTGGCTACGTTTCGACCAAAGGAAAAATTTGTTCGACTGTGTTCCAGTGAAGTCAACTATGTTTTGACCGATTCGACTCAAAGTGGCAATGTTGCGACCGACTCGAGCGAACAAAAATGAGTTCGACCCAAGCCACCTGTTTCGACAGATTTTACCAAATTGCCGATGTTTCGACTGAAACATCGCCAATTTGGTCGAGTCGGTCCAAACATAGCTGGCTTGCGTCGAACACATTCTCGTTCGGTCGAGTCGGTCGAAACATAGCCAACTTGGGTCGAGTCCGTCGAAACATAGCCAACTTGAGTCGAGTCGGTCGAAACATAGCCAACTTGGGTCGAGTCGGTCGAAACATAGCCAACTTGGGTCGAGTCGGTCGAAACATAGCCAACTTGGGTCGATTCGGTCGAAACATAGCCAACTTGGGTCGAGTCGGTCGAAACATAGCCAACTTGGGTCGAGTCGGTCGAAACATAGCCAACTTGGGTCGAGTCGGTCGAAACATAGCCAACTTGGGTCGAGTCGGTCGAAACATAGCCAACTTGGGTCGAGTCGGTCGAAACATAGCCAACTTGGGTCGAGTCGGTCGAAACATAGCCAACTTGGGTCGAGTCGGTCGAAACATAGCCAACTTGGGTCGAGTCGGTCGAAACATAGCCAACTTGGGTCGAGTCGGTCGAAACATAGCCAACTTGGGTCGAGTCGGTCGAAACATAGCCAACTTGGGTCGAGTCGGTCGAAACATAGCCAACTTGGGTCGAGTCGGTCGAAACATAGCCAACTTGGGTCGAGTCGGTCGAAACATAGCCAACTTGGGTCGAGTCGGTCGAAACATAGCCAACTTGGGTCGAGTCGGTCGAAACATAGTTGGCTTCCACCGCACACAGTATAACACAATTTTCCTTCGGTCTAGTCGGTTGAAACATAGCCATTTTTAGTCGAATGGGTCGAAACATAAGTCGAGCCCCTCAACCAGGGCAAAAATCAACAACCTTTTTAATCTGCGCGTTCAATCAAGTCTTTCAATTCCAGTTGTGACTGAAAGCATTTTCGAACTTCCGTGAAAGTCGATGCAAAATTTATGATTTCCAAGCGTCTCAGAGCCTTAAATTCGCAATCGATTTTTGAAAATTTTAGGCGACCTTGAAGCATATTTCTGTCTGAAAAATTGTCTGAGATAGGTCAATTGATCTTTTTAATTGAATTTGACTGTTCCATTTTTTGTTATTTGTCATTGAATGTCAAAATCGTTCAAAGGTGGCCGGTTGATCTTTTTTTTATGTCTGTTTCAACAGTTTCCAACATATTAAAGTGAACTATACCTCCTATCCGAACTATTTTTTTCTGTCTAAGGAACTCAGAGTTGTCGTTTTTCAGATCCTGCAGGGGTGACAACATCCGGGACCTGATGAAGGACCTGAAGAACATGAAGGAGGAGTTGGAGGTCAAGTACCCCAAGTCTGTGCGGGAGAGGATGGCAAAGATCAACAAAGTCAACAAAGACCTAGACGAGAAACTCAAAAAGACCGAAAAGGTATCTTTTTACTTTGCAGCGTCAATACATTTTTTAGCTATTTTTTTTAATTTAAAGAAACTCTTTAATAAACTTGGCACCAATTGATAATCAGAGTAACCGACTATCTGCATTTGCTAACGATGACTAATTGATTTAATCTGCAAAGGTTTTCCACAGTAGCGGATTAAGAAATTTACCGAGAAGGTGGATTTTCGAAATTATTGTCAAAAGTTTTCTGTCGACCGAAACTTTTCTGAAACACTTTTAAGGACAATTAAATTTATCGATAAATCAATTTTTAAGACAATTTAAACCAAAAATTTAGAAAAAAAGTTTCCGCGCGTGCTTTGAATTTTTGTGCACACGAAATTTTTAAGAGTTGGTTGGTCAAAGATCAAAAAATTAAAATATTTTTCCCGCGCGCGCTTCTTTTTTTAAATTTAGAGCCCCAAATTTTTCAACATTTTTTTAGTCATTTTTTGAAGAAAAATGTTGTTCAGTATGCCTATTTAATAAGACTATCGGAAATGCCGATATTCTATGCTTTTGTTCAGATCCTTCCATCACATCATGAACAAAAGAGAAAACTAAATTTAAAAATGAACGTTTTTTTTTAGGTTTTTCACACTGTGGTCAGAACGTTCTGTACTATTTGCACACAGCAACCGGCTATCCTTGTTTATGTTGAAAAACTCTAGCTGAGTTGCAAAAAAACTCTAGCTCAGTTGCAACTCTAACTCGGGCTAATAGCTGTCGTCTTATTTGCCAGACACCCGCTACTACGTAAAACAGCCAACATGAACAAGTAATTACACAGAGGCGAAGAGAAGCTTCGCACCACTTAAGATACAACACAATCATAAAAAAAAATAGGAAATTAAGAACGTTGAAAAAAACTAACTGAACCAAAATGAAAGACACCTAGGGACCAGCTAAAGCTGGAGGCATGTATTTGATTTTAATTGAATTCATTTATAGTGATGCGTGACGAAATGCGTACTTTCAAAAATTAGACTGCCCACAACCTTAAGCTGTTTCACTACTGAAATAAGTGAGAAGAGTGAGAATAAGAGGTTAGTTATCGAGACAAGTCCAAAAAAAACAGTCAACATATCATAAAGTTGACATTTCCGAAATCATAGCTTTGTTTTTAAAAAAATGGGCAAAGCAATTTATGCAGAAAAAATTCGCCCAACCTTTAATTCTGATTGAACCCAAAAACCCAGGTTTGGCAGGGTAGTTCGAGAAAAATCAAAGACTCAAAAAACAGTTAAAAGAATGAAAGATTTCACTATTCCGAGGACCATAAAATTATGAGTTAAAACGTATAGGCGCAGTTGCTAATGGAGGTGAGCTTTGAAATCCGTTGTATTCATTGAAATCAAAATCTCAGCTTAAGTGGGTTAGTTTTTGAGAAAACGATATTTTTTCAAAAAAATCGGTCTAATATTACTCACAGACTTTTTCGAAGTCTGTAGACAAAAGGATAAAGCAAAAAGGGACCAGAGGAGTAAGCAGACACACGAAGGTGAAGGCCCTGTTTCAATCGACACTCCTTTTTCGAAAATCAGTAAAAAGGTTTTGCAAAAAGTTATAAAATTTTCCAAAGCAATTAAAAAAAAATAATAATAAAACCCAATCCCAAACATTTTCATGAAAACTATTTCTATCAAACAGGAATTCTGAGGAAACATGCTAATCAAGAAGTTTGAAATTCAAATTAGCAACTGAACAAAACTTACGAAGCGGAAACACCAGCTGAGCCGAAAAAAGAACTGATTTTGTAGAAAAAAACTTTTAAAAGTTTCAAGTCGCCCCCTGAAATTGCCCTGTAGTAACTAGTACCCACGCATTATTTAAACTTGATTTTTCTTAAAATTCAGTATCGCAGCTGTCTTGTTGTTCATAAGTTAACAACGCCGGAAATACCTGAGCAGAAACCTATCAAGACGAAAAAATTCAAATTTATAAAAAAAAGTTTAAGTCCTCTTTCCCTCAGAACACGCACACGCACACAAAATTTTTTCCAAACTCAAAAAACGCAAAAGGCGGCCAGTATTTCGATATAAAAAAACCGAAACCAATTAAGTTCAAAAAAAAAGAAATTGAAAAAAAAAACGAAAATTTGACAAATGAAGTTGATACAATTACAACAAATGTAAACATCAAATTTCTATTCGACCGGACTTTTAAAAAGCTGGAACAATAAGAGCCACTCGAAGGAAAATACTTTACAGCAACAGTAAACGACTTTTAGATGTGGCAATTAAGACAAAAACATAAGCAGACAAACATAAGGCCGACAATTTTATTTGAAAGAGAAAATTTCCGTTTGAAAAAAAAAAAAACAGGTGCTGGTCAGGTTCCAACCCAAGACCTTAGACGTACCAGGCATTTTCGTTACCTCCAGGCAAAGTTGGCGGGGAACGCATATAAGTTTGAACTCAATATGAACCAGGATACAAATGCTTCAACTGATTTTGTTAAACTAGTTGTTAACCCGAAAAACTCTACATTCCGATTTGATAACACTTGCTAATCACAAGCGTAACAATACTTCATGAATATAAAATTCAAGTATATTCCAAATTAAATGACGCAATTTTGGCTGGATTATACGATCTGCTCATTTTTCGGTCCATTCATACTTCGACTTATTACTACATGTTTATTGCTACAGCGGCTTATTGCACGCACATCTAACTATCCACGCTTTTTTTATTACCAGGATGCAGCTGAAGCATACCGCGATCTGCGTAAGCTGGTGGATGCGAGCGAGAAAGAGACTCTCCGAAAGATCAAAGCAGCCCACAAGTTCAAGAAGGACGAACTCACCGCAGAAATGAACATCTACGAAGGCCACTTGAAGGAGAACCAACAAGCACTCGACAAGGTACATCGTAGCTCCTAAAGGACTGGAACCAAACTTCCAACCAGTAGCTTTAACGATTAGTTCAAACAATTTTGATCTGGAAGCTTTCCCTTCCAAGTCAAGATTCGAGCTCTTGAAAAATCTGAATAACAGAAAAAAAAATTTTTTTCTCGGTACTTCTTATTTCTTCGATTTTACTGTTTATCTCATGGAATTATTAATTATAATTGTTTTTTTTAATGTCCTTCCCAGAATCATGATGCAATAAAATTAAAGCCAAAATAAAAAGAAATAAAATTTAAAAGATAAAAAAATTTTCTAAGGTTTCTCGGTCCAGGCTAGTAAAATTATGAGCGTACTTTTGCTTGATTATGTACACGTAAAAGGTGAGCTCAACAATTCAAACATCAGAAATGAACTCAAAGTTCAAATATACCGTATAATCTGGTGTCTGGTTGACATTGCGTTACCGGCGACGATCTGTTAAGGAAAAAATTTGTCACATGCGAGAATTCGTAAGCCATCAGCAAGTAGGGATCACTTGCTCCACTGCGCTTACATTCGACACGAGATGTATAGTGATCGTGAATCAGTGTAGCCGCTTAAACTACTGTATCAAAATTTGCATATTATTACAAATTGTCGTCTCATACGTAATCTAATGCTAGTGGTCGTGTTTGAGGTCTCGAATGACTCATGCCATACGATCCACTTTCCGGTGGGCAAAGTGAACGATGGGGAGATAGCGTCCTTGTGTCAGACTAAGAAGATGTACGCAGACATCATCGACAATCTCCACCAGCCAGAGGAGAGAGAGGAACCCACACGCACTTCACTCAAGGTCAGTAGAAATGGGTCATCTTGTTAGCTTTTACACCCCTATGGTTCATATATTACCCCCTATAGCAAAGAACATCCACCCTGTAATGGACTAATTTAGCGGCTATGCACATGCAAATTTTCTAGCTTGCAGCGAATGTGCCCCGTTTCCAACAGGGAGAAATAGGTAACAAGAACCATCGAATTTTTACTATTAAAAAAATCAAGCAGAAAGTAAGCCGAACACTTCATAATTAAAATAACCACAGCTTCATAAGATACAACTTCATAGGAAAGAAAAGCATCAATAACTGCCTAGTGCAAGCCATAGCTACGATCATGTCTATTTAAGATTTTGCTAACAGACTTTTTAAAATGAATATCTTTGAAACCATTCTGATTACAATGTTTTACGCTTTGTATGTTGAATAATGATAGTAAAGTCTGGCTTTGAAAACAAAATGGAGTTGACTTCGATCTAATTAACAATTATTGTCACTATGATGCCCAGCAATATCGAACCCCTCTTTGCATTTGTGAAGGTCGTGGAATCTTTTCAGCAATTCAAAAAAAATTCGATTTTTCTGGGCATCAACTTACGAGGTCAAACTGCGCACAGGATAGGCGCACAATTTTGTGTCTGTATGTTCCTGGATTCCAGAGACAAGTCTTAGAACATATTCCAAACTATAAGTGGATTGCACTTATAGAATTTCAGTGGTTTCCGCGTACAAATACCTGTAACGTTAATTTGGTCGGCAGATTTGTTTTGTTGCGGATTCCGCAACAAGCAAATGAAGCCTAATTGTTCTTGATTCCGCGACTGTAAGTGGATTCAACAAAATATAAGGTGAATCCGCAAAGGTAAGTGGAATTCGCAAAATTTGTAAGCGGAATCCGCAAATGTAAGCGGATTCCGCTAATTGTAAGTGGATTCCGCAATATTGTTTATTACTGAATCTGCATATGAACAATTTAAAGCTAGAGGTGGAATTATTATCTATAGCAACGCGCAATTAGAAAGCAAGGACCTATCCATTGTCAGCTGAATCCACTAACTAATCTTAAAATATTGTTTAATACTAAATAGGCGCGGATGTCAAATTTTTATGATCGGATGCTTTTTGGGATCGGAAAACACATCGAATGGCTTTTATTTGTGGTTCAGGGTTTGAAATGGTTCAGTATGTGGTTCAGTTGATTCAGAAATCATCATCAGTGTTTGAGATGAGATGGTTCAGAAATCAGCATCACCCATCAGTTCTTGAGATGAGATGGTTCAGAAATCATCATCACTAATCAGTATTTGAGACGAGATGTTTTCAATGTTTATTAGGACAACGGACGGCTCGATTGTATTTTTGAAAGCTGAACTGAAACGTCCTCAGAAACACTGGATTAAATGTTACGTTTAAGGTATTTGTAGAAGGAGTCCACTAAAATTTTCTTAATAGAATCTACTTATATTTTGGAAAATATTTAAGGACTTGTCTCTGGAATCTAGGAACTGGCCGATACAAAACTGTGCGCCTATCCAAAGCACAGTTTGGCCTGGTAATATTGATGCCCAGAAAAAACGAATATGTTTTTCTGAGTTGTTGAAAAGATTCCATGGCCTTCTTACGCAATTCAAAGAGAGGTTCGGTATTGCTTTCAATCATAGTGACAATAGTTGTTAATTAGACCCAAGTCAACTGCATTCTGTTTTCAAAGCCAGACATTATTACAATTATTCAACATATAAAAACTTTGTGGACACTTAAATAAAAATGTCTTCACCATATTTCTTTTGCAAAATTCGGATAACCTTCTCCGCAGCAAGTTGT